ACACGAGCACCATATTTGCAGATAGTTTCGAAGCAGAAGGTAAAAACCCACCGCGGCGCACAGTTTTCAATAGGAGCCTCTCCTCAGCTAACGTTTCCCCGATTCGCCCCCCCCCCCCCTTCAACAAGAAGTAGAGCCTCTGACGAGAACCGCGCCCTCATCGTTTCCCGAACCTGGAACCCCTACCGTCGATTCGGTCGTCGACAAGCAACGGCAGGAGCTGGAAACCAAGACGCAAGACCTAAACACGGTTTCTGAGACTAGATTGGCCGAGTCCGCGACCCTGGAATCGCAGCGCAGTACAGAGGCGCAAACCGATGCGGCTACTGCTTCGCCGGAGGAAGACCTGGAGGAGGATGTCCCTCGAGAAGCTGCATTCAATCCCGAGACTGGCGAAATCAACTGGGACTGTCCCTGCCTTGGCGGAATGGCTCACGGGCCCTGTGGAGAGGAGTTCAAGGCGGCGTTTAGCTGCTTCGTCTACTCTACCGATGAGCCCAAGGGCATGGACTGCATTGACAAATTCCAGTATGTCATACCCCAATTCTTCTTCAAAGAACTCGCCAAGGAAGGACAAGACAAAAGAAGCGAAACTTCTTCTTCGGAACAATGACAGGAAACATGAGACTGACACACATCACAGAGGCATGCAGGAGTGTTTCCGCAAATACCCAGATCATTACGGCGCCGAATTGACCGACGACGACGACGACGAGGTCGCCGAAGACCAGGCTCCTGAGAGCGACGCATCTTCTGCAGTACAAGGCCAGGCTTCTGAAGAGCATGAAGCTGAAGCGCCTGAGCAGCACAAAGCTTCCGCGGAGGGATCGGGACTCAAAGTTGTGGAACAGGCAGTAGCTGATGACGGTGCAGGTAACAAGGATGCGTAGAAGGACCTTACGGTGATGAGGCACGAATAGACTCTTGATGGTACTGCCTCCCCCGTCACCACCAAGACATGAAGAAAAGGAGGACCAGAAAAGGAGCAAAAAGTTTAGAGCAAGAAGATATGGCATTGTATGGATAACGAGGACTGTATCTTCGCCCATTGTATATTTTGGCATGATGTCATGTTTTGTATTTCATTGTACGAGTAAGTAGAAGTGTACCAGAAAGGACCTTTGTCCATGGACGGCAAAAATTATAGCAACGAGTGTTTAAAATATGCGACGAGTCCTACGCCGGAACATGCTCTTTGTCTGCACATGTATATATGTAGCACGAGCATTTCTCCGAACAAGGCTTCAATAAGAACCGACGGCCGTGCTGCCCGAAAATCCAGGTACAAATACAGACAACATCCTCCTCCTCCTCCTCCTCCTCCTCCTCCTCCGTGGCCCGGCGCTGAACGAGTTGTGTACGAGTCTTTGGCCCAGTCGAGCAATCGAGCGTCAAGAGAAGAGTTTCATCAACAAAGAGGAGCTGATCAACAAAACGAGACTCAAAAAACAGGTTTCCACCCAATTACGTTGCGATATCAAGAACCAACGCCCCAACCCAGACAAGTCATTCCCGATCTTTTCTCCTCTTCCCCCTCCCCTTCTTGCGCTACGTGCGTTCCAACTTCAAAAAGAATGCACACACACACGAACACTCCACCCCCTAAGAACCCCCCTTCTTCCCCTTATACAAATACCGCCCCAAAACCGCCTCCGCGGCCCCAACCCCCGCCAGGATTCCCACGCCAACCCCCGCGGTCTTCCAGCTCAAGTTCCCCCGCTCATAGAGGCCCCATGCCTTGTAGCCCAGGTAGGAGCTCACGCCGATAATAGCAGCCAAGTTCGTCACAGCCAGGGCACTGGCGCTGCCGTCTGAGAGGCCAGAGAATTGCTGCACGAGCCACGAGTCCGTCTCGCGGGCCTTCTTAGCGGTCTGCTTCTTGGTGTTCTGGACCTTGGCCTTGGCCTTGGCCTTGGCAGCTTCGGCTTCGGCTTCGGCGTCGGCTTTGGCGTCGGCTTTGGCGTCGGCTTCGGCTTCAATATCCAGGCGGTTGGCTTGGGTTTCGGTCTGGATGGGCTGCTCGGAGAAGTCGGAGGGCACGGTGTGGACGCTTGGCATGTCGACGTCTGTGAGAGAGGCTGTGGCTACAGATTCGGTGTTGACGAGTTCGACGGGCTGGGGAGCAGCGGCCTGGGGGGGGGGGGGGCCCGGGGGTTGGTTGCGTCAGTGTCTGGCTCTCGCGAGAGTTTTCGTCGCAGGGCCGGAATTTTTCCCAAGGCGACGTGTTGATGCGGTACTGTACTTACCTCCTCGGGGGTCTGCTTGGGGCCACTGGCGGCTACGTCGGCGTATGACACTATATCGCGCGGAAGGGTCAGCGTCCAGGTGCTTCTGTGTGTGTGTGTGTGTGTGTGGTGGCCTTGACGGAGGGGCTAGCAGGTTGAAGACCGGGACGACTTACTGATTCAGAGGATGAGGATGGTTGTGTGAGAGAAGATCTGATTATTTTTGATTCGCCTTGTGTTCGTCTGAGGAGAGCTTCGATCTGATTGTTGCTGTGACGTGAGAAGAAGGTGTGGGTTGAAACTGGAAATGGAAACAGCGGTCGGTGGGTGCCAGGTTGGATGGATTTGACCAAGTTCATGTTGATTGTCGCTTGGTAGGTATGTAGTATGTACGTACTGTAGGTACAGGGATGGCGGCGTGCCGCAGAAGCTAGTCGATGGATGACGTGACTGGGCGGGTTTGGCTGGGGAACTTATGGGTCACCGGGTTGCTATTTGCCAAATCATAAAAATGCCTGCCGCGAAATCTCCGAGCTGACAAGTCCTGGAACGCGCATGTGAAACGCGTTGAAAGTGTTGAAAGATACGCAGATGGCGCGCCACCATGGGCAGATTGCAATGAACACCTAGTTGCCGTCTATGAACAGTGTGATTGGTAAAGTGTCGGCCTCCTGAGATGGGCCAAAATGGCAAATGCACCAAAGTGTGTTGTTTCCGTCTCCCTGAACTTGTTCGAGCGTCGTGTTTCTAGGAATCTCCTACCCTAGAAGATGGGATGCAAAATTGTCACGGCCGACATGTGCCAAATAACCCAAGCAATTAATGGTCACAGACTCACAGCCTTCTTTACCTTCCCTCTTTTCATTCTTCATTCATTTAATTCCACAGCTATCTAGTATGTAGATTGGAATCGGAAAAGTGTGCGCTGATTTAATAGGTACATAACACAAGTCTTACTCATGCAAGAGGCAGAGGAGAGGGATTGTGTAGCTAGAGAGAACAAAAAGCACGATACTCCCTGAAAATGACAATCGTCAAACTCCCATATTAACAACGCCAATGTTGCGGGTATCACGAATTCTATCCATCACTCGTCTGTAATTGAGGGCATCGTTCCCCCACGTGGGAGCTTGCCAATCCGTTGATCAATGCGTCGCCTCCGTTAAGAGAAAGAACCGATAAAGCACGACTGTCGAAATGGGAGAGACCCATTGCTGTAGATGTTCTCGTGAGAATGAAGTAGGGGCAATCATGGCGACTTTTGTTGGAATCCTTCGTCCAGCTCCTTTACCCAGTGCTGCCGAAGACGCCGGGGCATTTTGCAGAAAATCATCGCCTTATTCTCGTGAATCAAGACATTCTCAGCAATCTTGATCTGCAGCTCCATGCTCTCGTCCGCAAAATCACTGAAGAACTGCTCCAGTGCCAACTCGCACCAGGTGGGCGCGTGGGCCATTGCTGTGTCGGAGAGTACGTTGCTTGAGGATGCGGAAATCCGGGCGACCGAGTCACCGGCAGTGGAGGTGCGTTGACGCTTCTCCGAAGATGGTTCAGCTCGACGTGCAAGTGCCGTCGTCGTGGGCATGAGGCGCAGTCCTGCGGTTCTATTCAAGGTGACCTGCCTCAGACCGGCTGACGATCGCATGAGACGGGGACTGTTTTGGCTAGTCGCATGCTCGGTTTGTAATTGCAAGACGTCAAGTTCTGGCATCTCCGAATCGTCCCTCGCCATCCCTTCGGTCCTCCTCCTCCTTCTCTTGACTCTTTTTGGGGCACCACCCGAGCCAACCACATCGGGATACAGTATCTCCATGTATTCTTCGTGATCAAATGGACGACCCCGAAGGGCTCTCGAAAGAGGCTCTTTCTGTATGTATCTCGGCGTCAGCATCCACTAGCTTTATTTCGCTTTGCATCTTCAGTTCTTCTTCTTTTCGCTCTCTTGGACCCCATTCCCTGTCTTGCGTGTTTCATGTTCTCAACCCGTACAGGACACGTCCATGTCAAAGCTTGTCTCACTCACTTCTATATGCGCCTTCCAGGCAGCTTCCGATGCAGTCACCGTCTTGGTGGCGGAATCGTATACAAAGTCTGGGTCCTCGCGCAGACCACGCCAGAGCCGGAACCGTTTTCGCGCATTGTCGCTCTTGTTGATGAGGTGGCTTTTTGTAGGAAATGCGGAGTGACACTCTTCCAGAGCCTTCGCGGCGCGCTCCCAGGCCTCAGTCTTGAAGCTGCTGTTCTCACGCAACCCGAGCTGGACACTGGCACAGAGGCTGCGAAAAAAAGTCGTCTCGTATGCGGGAGTCCAGCTGAAGCGCGGAGCCCGGCGATCGCGATCGACACGAGAAGCCGATTGACTATCAGCGCCGAGTTCGGCGTCGTCTTCAGACATGGCCGCGAACGGGCACGAGACGGAGACGAGACGGAGACGAGACGGCGACGATGACTCAAGACCGTCTTTCTATGTTTCGGACCTCCCTACCAATGAATATCGGCAGCAGAATCGGCGGCCAGCGGCAACCACGGCGCCGCGTCAATGTGGCGTGCGACAGCCTGCAAACTTTGTGATGGGGATGGATGCAATCAACAGCAACGCGATTTCAAACGTCGGGACGTCGGAGCTTCCTTGAGACCTGCAAAAATACAATGGAGCGCGGGATCCAATCAACATTAGCCTAGCCTCTGAGCTTGGGTGTACGTACTGTACGCTGCTTGCACAGACCACAGGGGCGTTTAGTGCCTAATAAGCAAGAGAAACACCACAATCGCGTTGGGCGGATGGTTTAGTGGTATAATACTCCCTTAGCATGAAGTCGCCTAGCGACCGTTTCTGGGAGTGGTCCGGGGTTCGATTCCCCGTCTGTCCATCTTTTTACCAGCCGACTTCATTACCTTGATGATGATTTTTTTGTCTTTTCTTCCGATTCCCTCCTTGACGGATGCATAAAATAATAATGCATTCAGTCTAGATGACTGAGAGTGATGTTCCGTGCATTCGTGCATTCATCATATTTATCGTCACCATATTGAAACAGAGGCGAAACCTACAGGACTCCGTAGAGGTAACTTCCTTTTGCCGCGTTCCCTCCTCGAGTCGTCGGTCACGTTGAGCAACTTGCAAGTAGGTATGTACTATGTAGAGACTCGAGAGGATGATCTACTTTGCCGGAACTGGAGCCGCAAGTCGGTGCAGCTCGGTTGACGGTGTTACTGCCCAGGCGACGACGCGAGGTGCCCTATCGGGACCCGGGCTTTACGATCTAACCGATATTACGTATCTCCAAGCTGACGTCCATGAGGGCGGACAGACGCATGCATCGCCAGCCATGGATTACGTGAGAGCTCGTTTCACATGTATTTTATTGTTTAGGATGAGGGACATGCTGGCCCCATAGTAGAGGATGACATTTATCATATTTTATGTATCTCTTGCTCAATGGTCACATTATGAGTGTAATAAATTGTAATGCGTTGCCAATATGTAGGCTGTTGGCAGTTGCCCCAGACTTGCATACAAGGTCTGATGCTTCTCGCCGAGATGATGGAACACTTGGCTTGTTTGAGGCGAGGGGGGTGGTCCCAAGATCCATGATCAAGCATGAATGGCGTCTGGATAAGGAGTCAAGGACTTGTCTGGCGATTTTGGGCGTCAATTTAGGCGTCCGGTGGTGGCGTGCGGGAAGTTGGGAAGTTGGGAAGGCTGACTTGAATTGTAAAACGATGCAAGCTGGCCTTGGTTGGGCTCAAGATCACATGTAGGAAGCAGCCGCTGCAGCCCCAAGGGTCCAAGAGGTTGGCTTCTCACGGTTTCAGCCTTTGCTGCCTGTTGCCGCAGCCGAGGCCCTCGCAGTACGCATCAGGATTCATCAGACATGTGCATCGCATGCGGCATCGCATGCGGCATCGCATACGCCGTACAGCGTCGCGCACCGCATGAGCGCCGGGCGGCGAACTTTCTAAATGCTGTCGAGTCGGCGCTGGGGAAGGAGATGAGAGATTTGGATTCCAGAAAACTCGAATATCAGAAAACTAGATATCAAAATGACAAGACACGAAACGAAATCAATGACAGGCCGCGCCGAATGTGTTCTCGCGAGGTACGGAGTAGTTTCAGAGGCAAACTACAGAGACATATTGCATCCAGGCGCATGGACACCTGTATATATTTCAGATCACCTGTCTAATAAAACACTCCGTAAATGTACATATACCTGTAACCTGGTACGGAGTACATACATACATTTTCTTCTGGCCTTGTTTCCGACGGCTTGGCAGATCCGCAGTTCCCTGCTGAAGCGCGGGGAAATGGAACAAGGGGAAACCTCCCGAGATCGGTAAAAAAAAAAGAGCGAATCACGATCACGAACCGCGGAAGACGGCAAGTCAGTCACGTGCGCCATCTTGCTTACCTGGACCTGGTACACCGTACAGGTACCTCTAAATACGGGGGGGTATTGTCGCATTTTTGCCGTCGCCTGCCGCCACCCGGCCGCCCCCTCCCCCCTCTCTCCGGGGTAATATAAAGGAACCGACTCTCCACCCCAGAGCCCAGAGCCAGTCGAACCCGAACAAGATGGAGAGACGAGTCAAGACGAGTCAAGAGTCAAGAGAGGATGAACAGGAAGAATGAATCCCCATCTGTCGAAGAGAGCCTGTCGTCACGAGTTACCTTGTACCATCAGTGATCACTGACGACAGGGCCGATTGCTGTGCAAGAAGGAATTTAAGATTTCCTTTCATGCAAGCCGCAGCAAATACGGAGTACCTACCTACCTACGGATTACGGAGTAGGCACGCGAAGGAAGCTGCCATTTCCCATTTCCGTCGCTGTGCCACCGTCCCACGAACCCTAATAAGCCGTAAGCCGACAAGACAAACGCCTTTCGGTCGGGTGCCGCCGGGGCTGGAGTCTGGAGTCTGGAGTCTGGGGTCATGTTGTCCACCGATTCTTCAGTTGATGGCCGTCTCGTCACGTTGCATTGAGCATCGTGACGTGCACGCGGCCAACAGAATTTTTTTTTTTGATTTTTTTTTTTTTGAAGATGCGAAAATGGGAAAGGAGGGGTGCAGGGGGCTCACATCTGGAGGATTCACGCGCCCGACTTCTTCGACACCACCTACATTACGCACATGACTCTATTGGTCTTGTTACTCTTTTTCTGGTGGCCTTTTTTACATTTCTCCTTCCTGATCTTGATCCAGGGGGGGGGGGGGGGGGGGCCCCCCCCCCCCCCCCCCCCCCCCCCCCCCCCCCCCCCCCCCCCCCCCCCCCCCCCCCCCCCCCCCCCCCCCCCCCCCCCCCCCCCCCCCCCACGCCCGTGATTGTAGATGTGATGCCTCACTTTTCGGTTGTATGGCTTGAAACTGCTTGTGGCTTTCTTTGGCTTTTTTTTTTGTTTCATGCTCGACGTCGGTGATGGCTGATTGCCGAATTTGATATCACATTGATGGTGTTTCATCTACCTACCTGCATCTTCATCAATTTCTCCCATCTTCACACATTCTTCGCTCTCATCTTGCCGACCTTGGCGCTTGGCCGGCCAAGTTTCTTGTTGGCTTACCCCTACCCATGTACATACCTAGGTACCTATGTACATATTATCCTTGCCGGCCGGACAGGTATGTACATAGGTAGCGAAAGCGACGAAACCCATCTGCAGCCTGCAGCCAAGACGGGCAATTCTGCCAGGGGGGGTTTCTGCCGTTTGCCCTCGATCGTGGGATCTCAGGAGTCACCAGTGACCACCCTTCTTCTTCCCTGTGCGGTTCCAATGCTCAGGAACCAGACAGGAAATCCGAACCCCCCCCCCCCCCCCCCTTCCCTTGCCAACCCGAGTTTGGATTGGCATTATTAGGCACATATGTACATACATACATACATACATGTGTACCTTTAAACCCGACCGACGACGACGATGCTGGTTGATGAACAAGCGGCGGGCCGAAAAGCAGGGGGGGGGGGAGTTTTACGTACAGAAAAGGGAGCACCTACCAGTGTATGTACCACAGTTTGAAATGCTACTGAACAAGCGCGATTCTTGTCTAATCAAACCAATCCATTGGCGCTGGGCGTCTCTCCTGCGTCCTGATGAAGCTTTGAGGCAATTTTAAACAAAAAAAAGGGACCAAAATAAGAACGGACCGGGAAGCGCGCCCCTCCCTCCTTCTTTCACCTGACTAATCCGTCCCTGCACTAGGCTGCTCCTGTATTGACGTCCGATCCCTCGTTTTCTCCTCCATCCTCTTTCCTTTCCCCAGACGATAAATCCGCCGAAGAGGACCTAGGTATGTACATACTAAGGAAACTAGTCATCTTGGTGGTTCTTTTCTTACAACAATACCAGCCACGTGTACTCCGTACCGTGTGTTTGTAATTCGGCCCGTTGAGTCTCGACTCCTCGAGGACGGAGAGCGCGTCAAGACTCAACGCCAGTTCCTGCAAAAGCGGCATCGATCCGTCAGAACAGTGTTATCATCCAGCGACGACTCGAGAGTCTTGATAACTTTAGAATCTCTGCGCGTCATCCCCTCCCCCCCCCCCCCCCCCCCCCCCGGCGCCTTGTAACTTCTCTTCAGATTCCTGCTCGGCATCGGCCTGGCGAGCTCGGGTACCTAGTAGAGGACGGGTCACGGGTCATTCTGGAACAAGGATGCAAGATTCATACATATTGAGGAAATAGGTATGGAGTCCGTGACGCGTTGGAACTTAGAGTCCGGGGGGGGGGGGGGGGGGGGGGGGGGGAGGGCGGGTAGCGCCAGACCGGTCTCCTTCCCGCATCGATACATACGTACATACATGACAGTTTAACGGAGTGAATCTTTCACGCGACACATGGAAGCCTTTCCTCATTCTGCTGTTGCACCACCAACTACGTACTGTCTGTGCGATGATCCCGGCCGGACACTAGCAGTATGTATGTATGTACTCCGTACATGTGTAATTGTGAAGTCCCAGACTCCATATATACAGAGTACCTACATGCCTACATGCATGTGTTTTTCGTTCCGCACCGGCTATCGCCCCAGAACCAACGGTGAGTGACTTTGCGAAGCAACCTTTCCGGGTTCCCTCGCCGGCCTCTCTTCTTTCTTCCTGGTAGGATGCTCTGAATTCGGTGACAGCGGCTCTGTTGGGCGTCTCCATGTCTTCCTTCCCGCCTTGGTGCTAGACTAGTGCTGTCCATGGCTTTTCTGTCCCATGGCAGTTCAGGCTGACTTGTCGTGGTCACTTGAGATGGATGTTGTATGCCCTCCTTACACAACACAACTCAGGGATGCCACACCCCTCCCCTTGTCTTCTTGTGGTATGTATCTTGGCTTTTTCATGCCGAGTATCTGGTCTATTGGGACACTTGGCCGATTTCCCCAACATGTTCCGTCCGATACAATGGCACTTGGGCGGATAGCTTGGTCCTACGTCCTGTCATCCTTGGGTCTTGGGCTCCCGAGTATGTATATAATAAGTTCATCATGTCCCCAACACTAGACAGTTCATCCATCAATTCCGTCATTCGCATCTTTTCGTGGTTTCATTCGGATTCCCTCAAGCTTATAGAAGTCTTTTGTGTGTGTGTGTGTGTGTATCACTCTCCTTCGAACTTTGTGCTTCTCGCCAGCTCCTACCACACTCCTTGTCCGGCTTGACGTCGTCTCCGCAACCCAGGCAAAAAAACGAATAAATTAAAAAAAGATAAACGACAAACCCCCCAAAAAACCCCTTCATCACAATGGTCAACCACCATATCCTTTCCAGTGTACTACTGGCCTTTGCAGCCTCGGTCCAAGCTGGTGCCCCTGGCTATCCTGGCTTCAGCCTCCGCTGGCAAGACGACTTCTCCGGCGCACGAGGCACTTCCCCCAACTCACG